AGCCGAAACATGTAAACAAGGTAAAAATACACTCTTGTGGATTATTGTTGTCTGACTTGAAGAAAACAAAAAGCGTGACTAACTCTCTGTTTCCCTCATGTCAAATCTGGTTTATAAACACTGAAACTGACCCATGGGTTTCTCTCTTTTTCCTAGTTCCTGTAACACCGGTGGACTATATCCAGGAGGCCAATCAGAGAGGGATTCTCCCTCCTGATGCTTTATTCCCTTCACCTCAGTCACATGAAGAATCCTCCATTACTCCGACCCCGGAGAGCTTCCTCACCTCCATGGAAGATGGAAGTGGAGACTTCTGGTCTGATCTGACCACTAATTTGGAAAGTGGAGTCTCTACGACATTAAGCATCTCACCTACTCAGAGCTCCACATTCACAGAGGAATCACCCGAAGTACCTGAAGTTTCCTCCCCCAGTCAGACCCCAGACCTGCTCACCTCCACCCTCCTGATGGATGGAAGTGGGGACTCCTGGTTTGAAATGGAAGATTCCACATCTTCCTCCATTTCTCCTCCTCAAAGCCCCACGTCTACAGATGAGTCCATTATAAATGAAGATCCGTCTCCATTCACAACTGAGCCCCCCAAAGCCTCCACCCCGTTCATGGTGGATGGAAGTGGCGATTACATGTTCGATTTCACCAGTGAGGCTGGAAGTGGACATGAGGGAAGTGCCGGTTCCTCATTGGCTGTCAGTGAAGAAGCAGGAAACGTTTTGGGGGCAGCTCCACCACGCGCTCGCCCTTGGGGTAAATGTCAAATCAAACCAACAATTCAATTCAGTTTTATGTCTATAGCCCCACATCACAACAACAGTTATTTATCTCACAGCTTTCCAAACAGAGCAGGTCAGACCTACTCTGAAGTTAATTACAGAAACCCAACAATTCCCACCATGAGCAAGCACTAGGCGACACAGGCAAGGAACAACTTCCTTTAACAGGCAGAAACCTGGAGCACAACCATGGCTCAGGGTGGGGGTGAGAGAGAGAGAGAGAGAGAGAGAGAGAGAGAGAGAGAGAGAGAGAGGCAGCCTACAGTAACACATAGACTGGATGAAAAATGGCAATGATATTAATACTAATGATGATGGCCACAGATCCAGACCCCACAGCTCTAGAACCCCTGCAGGAACTGATAGGAGGAGCACAACACAGTTACACATTCTTGTCTGTTAAAGATCTGAGTCTAACGACACGTTTTTCTTTTTGTGTCTTAGTGAATGTACTACACAACGATGTGGAAAACTCAGAAAACATCTCACCAGAACAGCACAGAGGACACAGCACCCCTGGTGAGCAGAAACCGTGTTCATTAAAGGTTTAATCTGATTTAACTCTGGGTTAAAACATCCATTCTGACTAACTAATCTCTCTGGTTTATACAGACTGGATCATCATCGTTGGGTTTATCGTTGGGCTCGCAGCACTCATCATGCTCTGTGCCGCTATCGCTACTAGAGACAAGTAAGGACGGGTCTTTGGGATTAAATAATATTTTAGAGCAGGAAATGTACAGTGGGGGAAATAAGTATTTGACCCCTTGCTGATTTTGCAAACTGTAAATCCTCTCATAATGGATTTAATTATTATAAATGATCTCCCCTCAGTGATTAATACCTGTCGATAGATAGATAGATAGATAGATAGATAGATAGATAGATAGA